ATACTTAGGAATCAACCTAAGAATATAAAAGATCTATTTGCTGAAAATTATGCTACACTACACAAGGAGACTGAAGAGGATATTAGAAAATAGAAGGATATTCCTTGCTATTGGCCAGGAAGAATCAACATTGTGAAAATGGCTATACTCCCAAAACTGCTATACAGATTTAACATAATCCCAATCAAAATACCATTAACATACCTCACAGATCTAGAGAAAACACTCCTAAAATTCATCTGCAAACAGAAGAAACCTAGAATAGCAAAGGCAATTCTGAGCAACAAAGGCAAGGCAGGAGGCATCTCAATTCCTGACTTGAAACTATACTACAAAGCCACAGTGATAAAATCAGCATGGTATTGGTAAAGAAATAGACCTGAGGGTCAATGGAACAAATTAGAAGATGCAAGCACGACTTCCGGGAGAACATGGCGGACAGATAGCAACAGCTACAGAGGCTCTCTGAAAGACCCAGCTTAGAATTCAGGAATGGTGCGGAGTAAGGAATCATAAGCAAGTGGAGATATGCCTTGCTGACCCAAGAATGAACTGGGCTGAGAGAAACCAACTGGGAATGCAATCCTGGTGCTATAACAGGAACAGAAAAGCCTCAGTGTGAAAGTTGGAGCCCGTGCCATTGGAAGCCGCGATTTGGGTTTCCAGCCGCCGCTGCTGAGTCTACATCCACTCGGCAGGGAGAGAGATGTGCGAAAGCTCTGAGAACGGGAATCAGTGAATGGAGTTGAAAGCAGGATGGGCGGGGAGCTGTGCATTGACCTGTGATGAGTGAGAGAAACTGGGACTCTTCCACGGTCTAGGAGACTCCAACGAGGACATTCTGGGACCGGGCAGATTTGCGGAGACAGGGTGCTGCAGTGATTTCAGTCACCAATCCCCCTCTCAAGCGGGATTGGTGAGCAGTGCCTAGCCCACGTGACGCTGCTGGCTGACACCCAGTAGGCTAGCACAGCCCGGGTCCCAGCTCCTGAAGGTAGATTGACCTGGAGGAGCGGGCCCCGCATAGCCTGCCTGGTCTGCAACTTCCTGGTGCACTGCGGTGGGTGGGAACACCTAGCCTGCGCAATTCAATCAGACTGTGGCTCACAGGGAAGGAAGCTGGGCCTCCTATATACACTTGCATATATAAGGAACAAAGAATATAGGAAGAGGCAGCAACAAGAAAGGGTCCTCGGCCCCCAATCCTGAGAAAGAGGCAACAGCAGACACAGCATCAATAGATATAAAGCGCTATCTCGAGAGCCTCATAGACAAGTTCAGGAATGAAGTTATTAATGACCTGAAGCTAGACATAAGCAGAATAGTTAGAGAAATGCTAAGCACCACCCAAGAAAAAACAGATGGTGGAAGGGAAGAACAGAAAAAGAGGGGAGAGTTGTTTAATGGAGAAAATAGAGAAAGCATAGAATACGTGGAGCAGGTTCAAAGAGATTACCAGGAAACTAAAAAGTCTATCGAAAACTGGCATAACAGCTTGAAAGAAACTAAGGACAGATTATCTGAACTGGAGGGCAGATTTGTAATATGGGAGCATGAAATGAAAAACTTTTTAAAAATAACAAAGAAACAAACAGCAATAATACAAAGACTAGAAGATGATAAGAGGGTCTATAACTTAAGAATTAAGAACATAAAAGAAGAAGTAGGGACACAAACAAATGAACTACAAAAGCTACTCACAGAAATAATCCAGGAGAATTTCCCTAATTTAGCAAGAGGTAAAGATACTCAGTTGTATGAAGCATACAGGACCCCAGCCACCTACAACCCAAACAGAGCAACACCCAGGCATATAATTAAAATTCCAGAAATCCAATACAAGAACAGAATATTAAAAGCCGTCAGAGACAAGAAACAGATCACTTACAAGGGAACACCCATCAGAATTACAGCAGATTTCTCAGCACAAACCATCAAATCACAAAGAGTGTGGTGGGAAATAATTCAAGCTTTGAAAGATAATAACCTCCAGCCAAGATTGAGATATCCTGCACAACTATCCCTGGAAATTGATGGAAAAACAAGATGCTTCCAGGATAAAGAGGAACTAGGGGAATATGCAACCACCAATTCAACTCTACAGAGAATACTGCACGATATTCTAAAAAAGAAAAATACAAAAAATCCAGAAATAGTGGCAGAGAGGCCACAATGAATGGAGCAGAAAACAAAATGAAGAAGACAAACTGACAACTAATGACAAAATAAGAGCTCAACAGAAATGAGGCAGAGAAGATTGGATGATAGGAACAGCTATTTTGGAGAAAATGACATCTTAAGAGGTAATACTGATTTAGTATCATCTTGTTTTGAAGTCTCATCAAGCTTTTGTTCTGTCTCCATTGGTCTAAACAGGTTGTATCTTATTGGATTTTATTATGTATGATAGTATAAGCAAAAACTTTTATAGACAAGGAGATTATACAGAATCTGTAATCTATAATACTGTCATTTTCTTAAATGGTTTTACATTGTTTTGATATATTTGATACTACAGTATATGAAGTTATACTCAAAGATTTCAAGGAAAGAGACAATATGGTAACTACTTTTACGTCAGGATTATCTTGTGGTGAAACACTATTTTGCTTAAATGGTTATGTTTTGATCTGCGTTGTTTTGCTGTTATGCCCTCTTTTATCTCAATCTCCATTTTATGATTTACTTTTTTATTTTTATCCTTTTAATTAAGGGAAAAATAAATAAAAAAAATAGCAGGATATATTATAGTAACCCACTTTGACTTTCCATTATCTTGATTTAAAGCCCTGTATAGCTCTCACCATCTTGTTTTGACTGATGTCCCTCTATTCTGTTTTGCTTGATAGCACCAGGTTCGAAAGTTTAGGCAACAGCTGTGAAGATAGTGGGATTCATTATGATGCCCATTCTGGTTGACTATTATCTACTTTTGAAGACCTATAATGTCTCCAATGTTTTGGTTTGTCTGGTTTTGTTCTTTACTGTTTTGTTCAATTTTATTATAACTGATGATATAGGCAATTCTACTAGAGATAGCGGGAGGCATTATGGTAACCATTGTTGATCACCTTGTATTACGCTTTTATATTATCTATTATGTCCACCCTTTTGATTTGACTGACTCTGTTCTGTTATGTCACATTTGGTTCTACTCTCTTCCAAAAAAGTAATAAGAACTGTGGGAGCAACAAAACCCAAAATGTGTAATTTTCAAAAATACTCCTTCTGTAATTTCAATTAGGCAGGGAGAGAAAGGTGGCATTTGTGCATGATGAGCTTCTTACTTTAAACTGAAAGCCTCTCTACTTGATTTTAAGGGTTGCTGGGGGAAGTCCCACATCCTCTCATGCCAGCCTATGAGAGTAATTAATGTCTAGCTAAACTCTCTTCTGATGTTGCTGAAGTCTATGTTTTATTTTTCATTTCCTTCCTTTTTTTCTTATTTTTCTCCTTCCCTCCTTTCCTTCCAAATGCTAGGCAAGTGCTATACTACTGACATACATCCCCAGTGCTGCTCACATTTTCTTGTTAGGTTATCTGTAATGATATGGAGCTAAGGAATGTGTCATAGGCACCTTTCTCATCTAAGTCTTCAGAGTCTTTGTGCCTGCTTAAGTACTTCCCTTTTCCAACTTAAAAAGAAATCCCTAAATCATTAAAATTTAAATTAAAATGGAATTTTAGAGGTCACTTCTTCAAAGAATCAATTTCTTGTCACTTTAGCATTTTATCTGTGTCCTGTAGTCTCTTCAATTTTCTCTACATCCTTTTCAAGCCCAGGAAGCAAAATGCATTGTAGATTACAATTTAGACAAATCTCATGTGGATTAAATAATCCCTGGAGACTCCAGTTCAGTTCATTTCAGTTGACACAGTCAATTGGACTAACCTTTCCACTGAGAACTAGAAAATCTTGGCAAAATAAAAAGAAACAAGACAAAAGCATCTACTTGATGGCTTCAGAAAGCTGCCAAGGCAGAGAAGAAGATCAGAATCTTGAAGGTCTGAAGCTCTCAAAGTGAGTTCCACACATAGTAAGCACCATTTTTCCTTAAGGCCCTTGAGAAAACAGAGTAGAGCACATGCCAGGTTCACAAAAACAGAGTTTGACAAAGACAGGCGTCCAGGGCCTACAGAGGCATACAATGCAAACACTCCAGGCCTTAAGATGAGATCCTGGACAAAGAAGCAAAGCGAAAACAGATTAACTTTCACAGGAGAAGCCCAATTTTAAATACCTTACGAAAGAGAGCTTCCAGAACTGCTTCACAGTGGCAAGAGTGATGAGATGAATGTGTTCAAAGCATAGGTGAGTATTTTGAAGCAGGCTGATGGCAATGTCTCTTCATTATAATTTTTTTTTTAAATGTAATCATTCGCTGAACATTTTGACCATATTTTATACTTCAAAAAATATTTTTCAACATTTTCAATGTTCCTAAAAGCCATCTGGAATAAGCCACTTGTCCTTTTGAGCACCATGCTAACTTTTAAAGCCATGAAGGTTTAACTTTTTGGTTTTTAATTTTCACTTGAGACCAAAAATCTATTAGAAAATGATCTGCATGAAGTCCATTTATTCTAGTATATTATCACACATGGCCAAGTTCAATAGGAATTATTCTTCCCACATGGATTAACTTTCTAATCTTCATTGTCACTGTGTAGTTTTCCATCTTCCTCTGTTCATTGTCACTGTAATTTTAATGAATGCACCTAAAAAGGCATAGTTACCTAGACACAAAGCTCTCAAGAGCCATTGTGCTCACCAGGCTGTAATCTAGCCAGTCAAATGATACTGCAAATACTTCTCTTGACCAGAGAGATGTCCACCAGTGTTATTTGTGATTGAATGATGGATGCATATGTCCCAAGAGAGGACTGACTGTACCTGTCCAAGCACACATTTTTCTTTACTCATCAGAAATTATTTGCTAATAATTCAGCTAGTAGATTTCACCATCAATGTCTCACAAAGATGCCACTTAAAAGGATACTTGTGGTCAAAGCTATACCATAGTCTGAATATCCATGCACTCTCCTGCTTTGTCCGGTTTCCTCCAACAGAATCTGGGCCATCCTGGAAACAAACAAGAGGACATATGCTTAGTTATTGAGAAAAGATCTGAAAGAAGTTATGGAAAATCTTTTTATTATAACCAAATTACACTTCTTCTTTCTGCATTTACTTTATTTTTGTTTTGTAATGCTGGGAACCAAACCCAGGACTTTTTGCATATTAGGCAAGCATTCTACCACTGGGCTACACCCATCCCACAAACTATAATTTTTCTAGATCTAGAGCTAAGTGTCATATATCCCATGTCACCAAAGCTTCAACAATATATCGACAGCTAGTATTTTAGCAGAAATTGAATAAACTCAAAAAGCAAAAAAATTAATCTTCAAAGTAAAAACCTTTGTAATGTCTGTGAGTACATCAACTCAATATTAGCACAAAATTTCTTTTGGTACTACCAGTGTAATTTTCCTCAAAATGACTTTCAGAAGATGGCTGGGGATTTAGCTCAGCGGCATAAGCACCTGCCTTGCAAGCAGGCGGTCGTGAGTTCGATCCCTGGTACCGGTAAAAAAAAAAAAAAAAAAAAAAAAAAAAGATTAATTATCCTAAAAAAGTCTAGATCCCTGCAGGTAAAATTGATATATAGAGGATATTTTAAAAAGCTCTGTAGAACTAACTTTCCAGGCTCCCCCAAAGTTAGACTGAAGACACAACACTTTGATAAGTTTCCTAACAAGGTAGCTGAAGAGTTCTCTGTGGTCTTTACCCAGGTGTTCCAGGTGACATATATTTATTTTTCCTGCCAGTATGAAGAAAGTGGGGCCAGTAGGAAGGGGAAACAGAGCCAGAACTAACAATTCTGATATTCTGTCTATCCTGATGTAGCAAGTTCTTTGGTATTCCTTTCATGATATTCCAACTTAAACAATTTCACACTCAATTTTCAAAATAACCAGCAAGGCTGAAGGTCCACTCAGCATATTTTTACCTAGCCTGGTAGCCTCCATGCACACTGGAGACCTGGCAAGGCCATGCTCAATGACCCCTTGGTGTGTTACTCAGGATCAGGTAGGACCCCATCCAGTAACTTCAAGCAGCCCAGAAGCCTCAGTGTGCCGCATGGCACCTGCTGAAGGCCTGCCCAGCATATTCCCTCTTTGTGGGGGAGACTCAGTGCAGTGCTTGGGACCTAGTAGGTCCCCACGCAGCAACCCCAAGCAACTGGGCAGCCTCAGTATGCCTGCTGAAGGCTTACCCAGCATACTCCACCTAACCAAGAAGGCTTGGTGTGCCACTTGGCACCTGGTAGAGCCCTATTCAGTAACCCTAAGCAATCAGGGAGACTTGGTGCACCACGTGGTGCATGCTGAAGGCCTGCCCAGTATACTCCACCTAGCCAGTAAGCCTCCATGTGCTGCTCTGGACCTGGTAAGGACCTGCCCAGTGACCTTAAGCAGCTGGGGAGCATCAGTGTGCTGCATGGGGCCTGTTGAAAGTCTTTTTAGGGTACTCCACCCATTTGGGGAGCCTCTCAGAGCCATTAGGACCTGGTAAAGCCTTCCTAATAACCCCCACTCAGCTGGAGAGACCCCCTCCAGTACAGACAGCCATCATTAACCCAGAAAGCAACTGGGACTTTGCATTCAGGTACCCCATATAGAATATAGAAAAATGACAAAAGGCAAGAATAAAATGCAATCTCAAACCTCCAGCTCATCCCAAACAAGCCTGGGATGCACAGACATAGAAGAAAGTGCAAGTGACACCTGAAATTTCTGAAATGATAGGAACTAAATTGAAACAACTCCATGAAACTGTAAAGGAAATCAGATCAGAAATAATCTGTGAGGTAAAACAAAAAAATGATAAACATAATGAAAGAAATGCTGAACACATCTAAAGAAGACATAGTTTAAAAATGGAGCACTAGAAAATGATAGAAACCTTGAATGCACAATATAAGAAAGAATTAGAATGTGTGAAACAGATTCAGAAATATATCCAGGAAATAAAAAATTCCATGGAAAGCTGGCAAAACTGCCTGAATGAATGTGAAGATAGACTTTCAACCCTTCAGTGAACAGGAAAGGAAAGATCTTTTAAAAATAACAAGGAACCAGGAAATAACAATTCAACAGTTGCAAGACAATACAAAAAACACAATATAATATTGACAAGTGTAAATGAAAAAGAAGATGACAACATAAATAATATAAAAAGACTATTTACAAAACTAATAGTATAAGCCAGGCATGGTGGTGCACACCTGTAATTCCAGCATTTAGAAGGCTAAGGCAAAAGTATCACACTGTGAGTTTGAGACCAGCCTGAGTTACAAAGTGAGCATAAGGCTGGCCTTTGAGACTCTGTCTCAAAAAGACATTTATTTCCCAAACATGGGAAAAGAAAATGACATATAGATAAGTGAAGCATACAGAACTCCAATTAGCCATAACAAAAATAAATCTATACCCAGACATACAATAATCAACATCCCAGAAATTCAACGTAAGAACAGATTATTAAAAGCTGTTAGAGAAAAGAAACTAATCAGCTATAAAGGAAGGCCCATCAGAATCACATTAGACTTCTCAACACAAACAATCAAATCAAGAAGAGCATGGAGTGAAACATTTCAAATCCTGAAAGAAAATGACATCCAATCTAGATTGATGTATCCTGCAAAACTATTCTTCAAAACTGACAGAGAAATAAGATACTTTCATGACAAAGAACAGTCGAACAATTACATGACCACTAAACCAACCCTACAAAGAGTACTAAAAAATATTATAGATAGACATAAAAATAATTATGACTTCAAGAACACCAACAGAAAGGAATCACCAAGCAGGGTAAACAATTAAACAGAGGGAAAAGGTAAAGAACCAACAACAGAAAGATAACATGACAAAAAAAGTCAATATACATCACTTATAATCATTAATGTAAATGTTCTCAATTCACCAATTAAAAGAAAAAGAGTGGCAGAATGATGAAGAAACAACATCCAACCATATATTGTATACAGTAAACCCATCTGACTCAAAAGAAAATTCATAGACTGAAAGTCAAAGGATGTCAAACATTACTTCATGCAACAGGAACCCCACCCCCAAAAAACCAGACATAGCTATTATATTTGCAGAAAATGTGAACGTCAAATCAAGAATGGTCAAAAGAGATAGAAACGGTCACTATATACTAGTTAAGGGAAAACTTCAAGAGGAAGAGATAACAATCTTAAATATATATGCACCAAGTATGGCATTAAACAGTTGTATAAAACAAATATTAATAGACATGAAAAATCAAATAAGCAATGACACAATTACAACAGGAGACCTTAATACACAACTGACAAGAAGATAAAACAATTAGACAAAAAAATCAGCAAAGGAAAACAGAACTGAACTGAACTTGTGAACAAATGGACTTAGTAGATGCCTATAGAGCATTCCACCCAACAACATTAGAATACACATTCTTCTTCTCAGCTTCACATGGGACATTCTTTAAAATATACCATATACTAGCCCACAGAACATGCTTACATAAGTGCAAAAGAATCAAAATTATCTCATGCATATTACCTGCTCACAGTGCCAGATAACTGGAAATTAATGACAAAAGAAACTGCAAAAACTCCATAAACACATGGAAATTAAATACACTCATGAATAATCAATGGGTCACAGAGGAAATTAAAGAAGAAATTAAGTGATATCTATAAGCAAACAAATATTCAAATACAACTTACCAGAACATGTGCGATGCAATGAAAGCAGTCCTCAGATGGAAATTTATTGCAATGAATTCCCACCATGAGGAAAATATAATGTATACAAATAAATAACCTGATGCTACACCTCAAACATCTAGAAAAAGAAGAGTAAGTGAAGCCCAAAGCCAAAAGAAGGGAGAAAATTATAAAGATTAGAGCAGAAATTAACACAGTTGAGACTAAGAAAACAACACAAAGAATTAACGAATTGAGTTGGTTCTTTGAAAGAATAAATAAAATTGATAAGCCCCTAGCCAACTTTATTTTAAAGGGGTAAGAAAAAACTGAACTTCATACATTAAGGAAAGAAAAAGGTGAAATCACTACAGACCCTGTGGAAATACGGAAGATCATCAATACCTACTTGGAAAAACTGTGGTCTCATAGGTCTAGTAATGCATAATAAATGGACAGATTCCTAGAAACATATGAATTCCCTAAGTTGGATCGACAAGATGTAAAAATGCTGAATAACCTAGTTCCAGTTAACAAAATTGAAAATATAATTAGAACCTGACCAACAAAGAAGAACCCAGATCTGATGGATTAAATTCTGAATTCTACAAGAAATTCAAGGAAGAATTAATGTCAACAGTCCTCAAACTCTTCATAGAAATTGAAAGGGAAGCAATTCCCCCTAACTCATTCCTGGAAGAAAGTATTACCCTAATACCAAAACCAGAGAAAGTCTCAACAAAAAAGAGCACTACAGGCAAAATGAACATAGCGGCAAAAATCCTCAGTAAAATACTGGCAAACAGAATGCAGCAAATCACCAAGAAGATTATACACCACAACCAAGTGTGATTCATGCCAGGAATGCAGAGATGGTTCAACATATGCAAATCAATGAACATAATATACTACATCAATAGAGCCAAAGATAAGAATCACATTAAAGTCCAACACTCATTCACGATAAAAACCCTACATAAAATTAGAATAGATGGTCTTTATCTCAATCTGATAAAAGCCATCTATGACAAATCAACAGTTAGCAACATACTAAATGGTCAAAAACGGAATGCTTTTACTCTAAAATCAGCAACAAGACAAGGATGTCCACTATCACCACTCCCATTCAATATAGTGCTAAAAACATTAGTCAGAGAAATAAAAGAAGGATAGCAAAAGAAGTTAAATTATCACTATTTTCAAATGACATGATACTCTACATTAAAGACCACAAAAACGCCATTGAAAGAATTCTAGATGTAATAACCAAATTCAGTAGCATAGCTGGACACAAAGTCAACACTCAAAAATCAATAGC